GGCATATTTTTTAAGGTAACAGAACTTGCTAATGTTAGAACACGTATTCATGTAGACAATTTGTGTCACTTAAAAACAGCATCTGGAGAATAAAAACCCAAGGTTTTTCCCAATGCACATCTGACAGACATCATGACATCTACACAATAAAAATATTTTTTAAAGTTTTTTGTTGCTGAATTCAACATGAAAAAATCCACTGTTGATCATGTGAACAGAATTGTGTGCAAAGTTGTCACCTTCTTTACTGTGATGTTACTAGACAAGAGGGCATGGTCTTAAGCTCTGCCAGGGGACATTTAGGTTAGATATTAGGAAGAAATTCTTTACAGAGAGGGTAATCAGGCATTGGAATGGCCTGCCCAGGCAAGTGGTGGATTCTCCCTCCCTGGAGGTTTTTAAGATAAGACTGGATGGGGCACTTAGTGCCATGGTCTAGTAACCATGGCAGTGTTGGATCAAGGGTTGGACTTGATGATCTCAGAGGTCCTTTCCAACCCTACTGATTCTATGATCTATTATTTACCTATGAGAAAAGAAGCAAGACTAAGAACACAAAATAGCTTCTCCACAACTTTGCAATGAGAGAGCTCATTCTACAAGTATTACAACCAATTACAACCACACAAGCATCCAAGAAATACATCAGATATGAAAGCATCATCAGGAGAGACTGCACTGGACTTGTCTGTGGTGAAAAAAGAACCATCCACACATCTTGTTCAGCTGCAGATTGCAGGGTACATGCTGTGGATATAGTTTGCAGAGCACTCTGGTGTGTTGCAAGCAGAAACACGGCCTTACAGGTAAAATATATAAAAAAAAATCACACTGTTTGAACACAGCAAGCAAGCAGTTAATTGTTGGGTCTAAGTGAGGGAGCCAGGCTGTTCTACACAAAATGCTTACAGCAGTAAACAGATATTGAACTTAGGAACCCATTAACCAGAGGGCAGTAAAGAAATGTCTTTGCCTAATGTTCTTTTCTTTAAAAGATAGAGACAGGGAAGAAAAGATAATGTCAGTTAAGGTAACAGCAGATGAGACCAAATAATTGCAGATGGTTGAATGCAGAAGCTGCAGGATGTACTTTACCATCAAGTGGGTACTTGATAGGAGCTATTTATGTATGAAGTGTTGCCTGAGAGAACCCACAGGGAAGAAGTGCCTGAGTGCTAGAGAGGCAGCTGGAAATCATGATGGAATTCAGGCAAGACCTGAGGACAGGATGAAGGAAGGAAGAAGGTTCAGCAAAGAATACCAGATGAGAATGGCTGAATAACATCATGAGGAAGAAGAGACAGGCATTGAAGGGGGAATGAAAAATAGTAAAATCTTCCAGAATGGGCTTGTTGCTCCAAAAGACAAAGATAAAAAAGAGGAAGAAACAGAAGAGAGAAGGAGAAGAATAGCTAGTGTGTCAAGAAGAGCAGACAGGGATATTGGGAGGCTAGACAAATGGGAAAAATACACTGAAGACTCTGTTCCTCTTTCCCCTTTTTTTTCCAATTCTCCTTCAGAGATCCACTCCAACAGCATGGAAAGGCAATTTAGGGACTCACTGGCCCAAATTGCATTAGTATTTTGGTTCAGAGCAGAACAGTTCTGAATCAGATGACTTCAATATTTCCACTTAGTTCATGTCAGTTTTATTGGCAAAGCTTCTTGGTTTCCACAGTTAGGAGAAAACTATACCAGTAGTTGTTCTCTGAAATATAAGTGAAAAGCATGCCTGCCCCTGAAAAGGATCTAAAGAGCCAATCCAAAGTGGGCTCCACTGTCACAAGTTCTACCTCACATGCATGAACATCAAAAAGTTCTTACACCAACAAGTGTTTCTGTTACAACCTGAGGTCCTTTGCATGCTATAAAATGAATCAAATGCTAAGTATCTGCTGCCATATTTATCAACTGTCAGCTCCTGACTCTTTGAATTTCCAGCACTCCTTCCTCCTTCCTCTTCTCTCATTCTAGCTTGGAATCTTTATTTAACTTCCCTATGTCAGTTGTTGTCCGCCCATCTTCTTCTATTAGTCTTCATCTCTCTTGGTACAGTGAGTTGAAAAATTCCAGAAGATCCAGCCAGGTGCAAATTATCCTGTGCCATGAAAGGGCTGAACATTTCTTCAGCAGCAGGCTAGCACTGGCAGTCTCACAGGCTTGCATTATGATTGATGCATGAAGAGAACTGAAAAGCCAGACAACCTTAAATTTGAAAGGATGAAAATCATTCTTGGAGTGCAAGGGCAACAATCATCCTTTTGGGACAGCATGGCAGGCGTATTCATATTCTATAGAGCTTGAACAGATCTTCTGGTGAGAACTATTTTTGCTTATGTTGCCCAGTTGGCTATCTGTGCTCTGGGACACATGACAGTGTATCTGAAGCACACTCCCCAGCCACTCTGAGAGCCTGTGCATGCATCCCACAGAAGATCACTACAAAAAGCAGAAACTGGAGTACTGTCACTTGTTTCTAGTGCTTTTGAAAAGCAAATCTCTGTGTCAGTGCTCCAGAGTCCAGTTCAGGTCAGTGTACTCTTTCCATGCAGGCTTTTATAGTGGAATGGGAATAACATGATGTATCTGACACTTGGGTCATGATTGAGAGGAGATGGTGTATGTTGCAAAGGCTTTTAAAAATGTCTGTGGTTATGAGCTGTGGGGGAACTCCTCCATGTGACAGATAGCTACATCAGAAGCTTCCCTCCTAGTCCCAGCCTGTACAAGTGCTGATCTGTGTGCCAGTGACTGTGCATGCAGCATGCCGTAACACAGTCCCACTAGAATCTCATAGAAAGGCTTGTGCTTCACAGCACCTTCCTTTCTTTCAGCGTGGTGCTTTATAGCCTGGAACAAGGACTGTGTAAATGTACACAGTAATATGGATCCCATCCCTGCCTGTCCAATGAAATGAACAGGCAAGTTCTTCTTTGCCATGGTATACAAGTTATGTAAGAGCTCTGGTAAAGTGACAAATTTCCTCCTCTCTCTACCCCTTCACACCTCATGCAATGAAAACTACTGTGAGCAGTGCAGAGGGGGAGCAGTGCTGCTGCAGTTCTGTTCTCAAACTTCCTACCCTGTGGTGCATATCCTGCAGTCACTACAGCATGGGGGTAACACGAGCTTGTGGGAAGGGTGTCAAGTACACAACTGCTTTCATTCCTGATTTTGGTGGGTAGCCTGCAGATGAGGGATCAGGAATGGGTGGTGGGTTCTGCAGGAAGAAGGGGAAAGCCATTCTCTGCCACTTTTGCTGACATGCCATACAGCCTGATGGGGCCCTGAACCAGCACCCAAGGGTATGGGGTTGGAGGAAAATTTGTGCACTGGCAGGAATATCAGATAGCTGTTTGCATGGTGGCCATGGAAAGTCAGCCCAGAGCACTGCAGAGTCCCTATAGCACATGAGCTCAGTTGTTCCTCAGTGTGGACAGGCAGTCGGGTAGGAATGGAATCAGAGCTAACACCTGTTGGGACATTTCTCTTGTGCTCAGGCCTCATCTGCTACCCCAGGGGCTCTTAGAAAAGGCTCTAGCCCACTTTCCATTCAGTGCAAACAAAAAAAATCAACATGAGGGAGCAATTTCTCTCTAGAAGACTTCTCGCTCCCACTGCATAAAGCCAGTTCTCTATCCTGCTGTTCCCTGCTTGCAGCCAGTCTTGGTGACCACGTGTAGGAACAGAGGGGTCCTCTGTTTTGATCAAGGGACCAGAATAACCCTAGGCTGGAGCAAAATCCCCAAATGCGTGCAATGAATATGTGACAAACATAGCACCAACTGCTTCTTTGATCTACTGATTTACTCCTGTTGCACCAAATTCCTTGCTAAGACAGACACAGATAGCAATATAAGAACTGACAGGTCTGTTGCTGCAGAAAATGGAGGGATAGTAAAGATAAAAAATGGGGGCTTTTCACAGAAGTTAATAATTCCTATAGCTGCAAAACATAGCTGGTATGAAAACCAGCTGTAACTGCTGTTCTTCATAACACATTAAAAAGATACTATACTTAGCTGTTTGTTTAGGCATAAAGAAAACACAGATCTACACCTGTATTCTCTGCATACATAAACCAGAATCAAAGTCAACGCAGTTACATATCAGTTGTCTAGTTTCAGCAATCCTGTCAGGGCCAGCTATAAATTGTGGGAGATCTTTTCTACAAATGTGTTGGAAAGTGATCAAATTAATGTTTGTGTTAGCATCAGGAAGAAATAAAGCGGGTGTGGATGGAGGAAAATGAGGGCTGGCAGAGAACAATGAAATACCAGTTGTAATTATAAAAAGAAAAAACAATTTTACATGCATTACAGAGTTTGGTCACAGAGCTAAGTGCATCTTTATTTTTATGAGCTTCCCTATTATCAGGCTGTGCAACACAACCATGAAATTAACAGTCAAATATGGACCTTAATCCTGACATAAATAACATTCCCACAGACAGTACTAGGAGATTTGTCAGAAAAGTGTGTTCAGAACTTGACCTCTAAAACTAATAGTGTTGGTGTTTCCCTAGTCATAACATCTCATTTAGCTACCACAGTAAGGCAACTGAAACAGTCGAAAGCACAAAGAAGTCAGTTGTTGCCAGGTGGCTCCGTCTCTGCAGCCATTACTCAGACAAATAGTATTTGCTCACACAAGGCAGCCCAGAGCATTTATTGGAGTGTAACACAACTTATCAGATGAATTCAAGTTTCATGATAAATCTTTCTAAAAACAAGTTGTGGCATAGAATCAATCTTTCTTTTTTCCAAGCATGCAGCTTTTGAGGGTAAAATCACTACTTTTTACTAAAGTCATGATAGACAAATTACTTGTTTCAGCGACTTTAAGAGCCCGTAATTAATTCAGGAAAACCTTAAGCGTCCTTTTAAACTAAACAGCTAGCTTGCAATCTAAACTCATCAGCAACAAAAGCTCACCAAAGCATGGGTGTTTTAACAATTCTCAAATGAGTTTTTGTGTTTTTAAGCAGTTTCCTGACATACCTGAAGGTTGTTATTTGGCTTTATGCTGGAGCTGGTCAAACCTGATTGAAGCCCACTGATGACAGCAGGAATCTTTTCTCTGACTTGAGTAGCTTTCAGATTACAGCCAGTATTTCTTCAGGAATAATGGGACCACTCAACTCCTGAAAGCAATGAGAAAACCCTCAGTGACTTCACCAATTGTAGGACAAAGATCATAGTTCTGGACAGGGATTAAATTCTGCTAAGAAGGCTACCACAGCTGTCAGAAAGACACTTTAGCTAACTGATATTTCCCAGGTATGGTGATAAATTGGATTGTTGATTTCTTGGTTATTGTCTTAAGTCTACAATTTGGCCTGCATTTGCCATCCAGTCAGTCACATGCTTAAAATTTGTCAAGTTTCAGTATTTCAAAACTACTTTTTCTTAAACTATCATACATTAAAATGAAAGAAAAAAAGGGTACAATGAAAAGTACAGTCTCAGAACCATACATTCAGAAAACTGAAAAGGAAGCACAAAGGAAATCAAGTTGTTGCTCTCCTCAGCAGTGAGGGAAAGGCAGGTCATGCTCCTCTTTCTTCCACAGAAACTGGCAAAATAGCAGCACCCTGGAAGTAGATCATCTGGTTATTTGGCTTCCCAGTTGACAAATATCCTGCAAGGCACAATAGGAGAAGGAATATGTCCTGTTCCCCCTGTGATACAATGATCCAACATTTACAAGAGCACTTTATTTTACACATAAGAAGACAGCAGTACTATCTCCAGAAGAAAACTAGGACAGTCTGTTCATCCCAAGTTCTGCTTTCCAAGTAGCTCAGGCAGTTTTGGAAGAAAAGGCTTTAGAGTCAAATCAGTACTGTTCAGAAGTAGAATAAAGATCCCGTGAGCTATACGTCCATTCTCGTGCCAGGGGAAAAAGATTTGATTGTAAGTATTGTGCCTCCTGCATTTGATACAGATAAGAATTTTTGAGTTGGAAAAGATTTTGAAAATGGCCTGAGATTCCTGGGAAGCTTGTCTCTGAATATAATAATATTGGAAATAATATAATAATATACAAACTGTTTTGTAGGAAGTGTTTTGGGATAGAAAGCCCTACTGAGAGCGTTTGTCTCATGTCCCTGCTATTTGTATATATAGACAGAAGCTGTTGATGTGTCTTCTGAGCAGGGATGTTTCATATTCAGAATTACACTGCTTCTCATGGAAAGCAAGCAATTCTTTACCATGAATATCTGAAATGAGGCCTCCTTGGTAAAATGTAAGGCATAACTAATAATTTAGATATGGTGTGAAGTATCTATTGAACACACTTTCAAGACATCAGGAGGGATTTATCTAACTTTCTAAGCACAGGCAGTAATACTGAAGAATGGGATGCTTCCTGGCACATAGTTCATTACTGTTTGCTACACTTGATTTTCAAAAGAAAAATATCAGAGGCTTCTGATATTATCCATAAAACCCATTTAATAATGGGCATACAGAAATACACAGCAACTGTATCGCATGGACACTTTCTGAGGTTCTGTTTTTACTGACACCAAAGAAACTAAAGCCAAATAGTCAAAGCAATTTAATTAATTAAGAAAGCATACGCTCATAGGGAGGCTTTATTATCTTATTTGCCCTAGAAAATTAATTATGTGTAGTCAATGTAACTGTAACCATAGTGCTGTCATTTCATGAGCAGTAAAAGAAAACAAAGCAACCCATGAGTGCAGCAGTTTTAATAATTGCAAATTTGAAGCACATTTCTTTCTCATTACGTTTGAATATACAAACTACTGTGCAGTAAATTTGGGGTTTAGGCATGATGTCACCATCTTGCTTCTCTTTTACAGAGAACTATCCAATTCAGCATCAGTATAAAAATAAAGAAGAAATCCTATTCTCTTCAGTGAGATATGAATCTCAAAATGTAATTGAAGCATTACCTCCTGAATTCATTCTAAAGGCATGCAATACCTTAGAGACAAGAATCATTCCCAGTGCAGTAGAATGGCTGCATACTTGAAACAGGAATAGACAGGAAAAGCAAAAATTACCATTCCAAAGCTTCTTCAGCCCCATTGCCCATTAGGTATTTTATTTTCTTGTTTACAGTTATGCTGCAAACAGAGATTCAGCAGTAGTATACCTGGAATTCAGCAGCACTACTTTTGTTCTGATGCCTATATAATTGATAGAGGAAGATACTTTATTTACACAGCTGTGATGTGTTTTATAAACAGGTTGATTCTGACTTTCTGAAAGCTCATGGAGAATTATTGCAAAGGAAAAAAAAAGAAAAGTAGACACAAGGTCCCACATGTTTGACATCTTGCCATGTGTACAGATAGGACCAGAAACCACCGCCTTTGTCTAGTTTTTCTGGAAAGGGGCCAAAGCTTTTTAAGGACAAGCAGCACAACAAGCATGGCTGCACCAACCACTGCTTTGTAGTCCCAAAGCACTATGACCAGGCCCAAAGCAGTAAGACTGGCTCCCACTATGGGATTAATATAGCTCCTGTGCTAAACATCATCTAGTACCTTCTAAAAAAAATAAGGAAAGTTCATTTGCAAAGCAGAGGCAGTTTCTCCATCACTTTTATAAGGGCACTGGTATGACAGATACTGCTGTCATCACAGTTCCCAAGTGGAAAAATAGGATTTTAATCTCAAGTACCATTTGCTTTCCTCAGATAACCACATTCTTTATCACAAATGCTTTATCTTCATCATGCATTATGAATAATCTCACATTAGACTTACCTCACAACAGCTTATGCACAAACAATGCTCTGAACTAACAAAATCCCCAGTCGTATTTGTTTAGCATGTTGCATCAATGGAAAGTTTTAACTCGATCTGTTAGCTGAAGGTCTTTTGGTCTGCTGAGTCACACACGATTAATTCTAACAATATTTTAATTTCCTACATGATTAGGTAACTAATGATTTGAGATGAGATTGGGTGTTCTAAACTGAATCAGAATTAGCATTTTTTTCTTTGATGAATTAATTATAATTGATTTATGAAGTGGCACTCTCTAGGGGCCTGACTTTGCAGTGCTTACTGATGAGGCTAAATTCCCGTTGAAACCAACGAGCAATTTTCCTCAATAAACATTGAAGGATCTGCCCTTAAGGCTTAGAAGTTATAACCAGCACCAGCCTTTGAGCCACTCTTAGGACTGCAATTACAAACACTCCAGAGCTATAATCCTAAAAATACATTTTGCTAAGAACTACAGCGGAATTTCCGAGTAATGTGTACATGGAGCTATCCCAAGAGTTTTATGTCTTTCTATGAATACAGTATTTTACTAGCAAAATAAATGCAGAAACTCGAGTTGGAAGTATGTGGGCAGTATAATCCTGAAGTGTTCTCCACCAAAAGACTGAGGGTGTGCTATGCAGATGCAATTCAGTTTTCTCCATAATAACCATTCCTCTTAATCTTTCTCTTGCGATTTCTTGATGACCTCTCACAAAAAAAATTAAGAAGCTGACTGTTTTTGATGGTCTAAGAAGGGATTCAAAGTCACACTCATTCAGTGCTTTTGTCTTTTTTTAATGGATTGCTTCCCATTATTAAATAGTGCTATTTGTTTTTCCTGGAGCAAATGGACAAAAGCTATTTTTTCCCAAGAAATAATTTTAAAAACTTCAGTTTTGTGTTGCAATTAAATATTTTGTGGCTTTTTCTTTTCTATTTTTTTAAATCAAGGTGTTGGCCTTTCAAGATCCTCTTCTTTATAGACTTATTTATCAAGAAGCAAGTCTCTCAAAAATGAACACATTTTAGAACCATTTTCCTGAGATAATTCCATATTGCTTTTTAAAGCAATTTGACAAGTATTTTTGATGAAAAAGCTCCTAAACAAAAGTAGGTGCACTTATTCCAACTTGAAAACAACTTTAAAAGGCCATTTACTAGATATTAGTACATCTTCATTTTTGAAGCAGCTGTTGTATTAAATCTGCACATGAGTTATAGCACCTGTCATCATCTGATGTCATGAAGCTGCTATGTAAGAATTTGGATGGACTTTTCTCCACTGGCATCAGCGGGTGTTGAATCAGCCAGGAAGCCTCAGTCCGGTCAGAGCTGAGGTTCAGTAGACTAAGAATGACCCCTGACGTCTGAACACAACTTTGATTTGAGTTTCAAAGCCTTAAGAGATTTCACCTTTTATAGGATTTTGCAGGGAGAGAAACAGGGTTTTCACTGATATTTCGAAGAGGTATGTCAAGCAACTTTAGGAAAAGATGGACTAAGCAATTATTTCAATAGTGAACTTGAAAGCAAAATTGGGAAAGAAAGATGTCTCCCTATCATGCTGAATACTGAAACTGGAAAAGTCTGATTTCCTGAACTGTCAGTATTTTGTGTAAAGTAAGCATCTACTAGAAGCTTCTATGAAGAATGAACATTATTCCTGTTGTTCATTATGTAGCCAAGTATTTCCCCACTGTTTTCAGAAAAACAGTTATTGCTGTTCATTTCTATAGAAACACTCATATATCGCACAGTAGTAGATGGCTGTGCAAGTACTGCTAAGGTAATAATTTTCTGATGATGTTACAGTCTCTAACTCAGTAGCATATTTAAAGATACATTCGTATATTCTTTGATGAAAACAACCAGATATCACATAAAAATATAATCCAGAAAACTGCAAAGATGAGTCCATAAAGGTCTCAGTTTTGTGATGTTACTGTACTTTTTGGAGACGCATAACTTCATCCCACTCTCTGAAGATGTATAAGAATCCTTTATTGTATCCCTCTGGATGGTGCTGATTGATTGCCTCCGTGTACCAAGTGATGCATACACAGAAAAATCTTTTGTCTCTTTGTTGTGGAAGAAAGGGATTCAGTTTTATGTTCTTTTTCCTAACAGATTAGTGACTATCCCCAAATAAAACAGATTACCAAGGACCACAGGCTGGCTATAGTAACAACTTCAAGCCAGATTTTACTAGTTTTCCATCTTATATTAGTAGCATCATCTTCTGCCTGAATAGCATCATCTGCCTGAAGCCAGTGGCACTTGCACAAAGGGTTGCTGCTCAATAAGTACTCCGGGATCTAGGAAAACCATGGGTAAGTTCTGTCTGGGGTGCCTGCATCAACCACAGCTCCCCTGCCTCCAGCCATGTCCCTAAA